CAGAGAAGAAGAGAGAGAAGAAGACGACTACAGCAACTACTGACTGACAGCTGAGCCACCCTTTGGCCACTTTTAGAAGAAAAGAGGTTGAGGTTGTGAATCGACTTCATTCCTCTTCTTGTTCATTATTGCTCATTCTGTCCATCCTCACAGGAGGGCCCCAGGCGCCCACCAGACGCCCGAAGACGGCCCCAAGAAGACCCCCTCGGAGGCCTTCTCTGAGATCCTGGCGATGCAACTCTTTCGAGCGGGACCCCAGAGGCGCCCAGAAGGCGCCCAGGAGACCTCCACAGGCCCCAAGGAGCCCTCACGAACTTTCGTGAGGCCCTCAGGAGGTTCACCATAGAGGCGCCACCGCAAAAAGAGCTGAGGATGGGGATGAATTCGCAGGATAGGGCGAGAATGAGGAAGAGGAATAAGAAACATGAGAGAACGAATGCGCATAACATGATCAAATCGACGGTATCGAACAAGGCAAACAGGAGTTATCGCTAAGCATTTAATTGCACCTTCCTGCCACTCCACCTGCGCACGCCAGACTCCAACAACCAAGGTGCATGGCGCGAACCGCCAATGCAGCCTTGTACACATGTATAGAGATTAGAAGCTCTCTCTCTCTCTCTCTTTCTCCCTCTCCCCCCCCCCGCTCTCGCTTTCTCTCTATGTCTCCCTCCCTCTCTCTGTGGTATAGGCAGATATGTGCATGAACAAACATGCACATACCCACAGCTATACACCATGTGTAACTGTAGGTGTGTGTGTGTGTGTGTGTCTGACCCAAGGGAGCCGATAGAGATATCCACCTCCCGAGGTCCAGCAAGGTCGGGCTCCCGGGCGGTGGAGATGGATGAAGCCCAGCCCTGGAGGGGACGGGCGGTGTTTTCCCTGACGGATTCCCTGACGGATCCCTCGGGCAGGGAGTGGTCGAGGCTCACGCCGCCGCGTCGCGAGCCGCTCGCGGCCCCATTGTGCTTACAGAGCAGGTGGGCGCCTTTTCGGCAGGTTCCCGCACACCGAGAAATCCGACGTCGTGATCTTCAAAAACGTGGACCCCCCAAAGGTCTGGGCCTCTTCCCCAGGTCCGGCTTCTCGTCCCGGGTCGGTTTCAGACGGTCCTCGGGCCTGGTGAGGGCCCTGGGAAGCCGAAAATGCGAAAAGCCGTCCGTCGCAATGTTTCCCTACTAGAAGAAGTGGGTAGTATCTCCTTCTTCTCCTCCGTCTCCCCCTTCTCCTCGTTATCCTCCTCCTCCTCCTCCTCCTGGGCTCGAGAACTTCTCCGCGGTGCCCGCCAGGTAGTACATCTCCACGAAGTACGTACCTTGGAAGGGCAGCCAGAAGCACGACGGCGGTGAGACGTGGCCGTCCCCCTCAGCTCTCCAGGGCGGGGTGGGGAAGAGCACGAGGAGGAGCAGTGGTAGCCTTGGAGCATGACGCAGAACCCCCACGCCGCGCTCTCATTTGCAACGAAACCCCGCGGAATTCTGGACCTCATCCCTGGAACTGGTTCTTCCGCCAGGGTCGTCTGCTGGCGTTGGCGGGGCCCGGCGAAGGCCGCTGGAGGCCGAGGACAGCCACAAGCCGTCCGGCACGACCTGGTCACGACGAGAGGAGGTGGGGCGAGTAGGAGAAGGAGGAGCAGGAGGAGGAGGGGCGAGGAGGAGGAGGAGGAGGAGGAGGAGGAGGGGCGAAGAGGAGGAGGAGCAGGAAGAGGAGGGGAAGGAGGAGGAGAAGGGGAGAGAGGAGGAGGAGGAGGAGGGAGGAGGGAGGAGGAGGAGGAGGAGGAGGAGGAGGAGGAGAGGAGGAGGAGGGGGAGGAGGGGAGAGGAGGAGGACGGGCACCCGCGGCCAGCGGCCCGATCATGTCCGCGTAGCCGTGGGCAGTGACCTCGGTGCGCGGTGGTCGGGCCCCACGCGTGCGGCGCCGACGTCGGGGGGGCGTGTGCTGCTCGGCTTCTCGGTCCTCGGTTCTCCTCCTCGGCCCTCGATCCCTCATCCGCCTCATCTCGATCTCCTCCTCCGCTCCTCCTCCTCCTCCTCTCTCATCATCATCATCATCATCATCATCATCAGCATCATCCTCATCATCACCGTCGTCGTCGTCATCATCACCTCCACCATCATCATCATCATCATCATCATCATCATCATCATCATCATCATCAGCATCATCCTCATCATCACCGTCGTCGTCGTCATCATCACCTCCACCATCATCATCATCATCATCATCATCATCATCATCATCATCATCATCATCATCATCATCGGCAGCAGCAGCAGCATCGTCATCACCACCAGTCTCATCATCCAACTCACCATCAACATCACTACAACCATCATCATCACCACCACCACTGTCATCATCATCAACATCATCATCAGCAGCATCATCATCATATACTCGTCCTCCTCCTCATCCTCATTCGCCCTCGGTCCTCATCGGTCCTCCTCCTCCTCCATCATCGGAATCACACCAGCTCTTGAGGGTATGGGTGGTGCAGGGCGCTTCCTCATCCAACCCCTTGCTTCCTCTTCGGGGATGAGTTTACCACTGCTCATCCCGAACCCCTTTTTTTTCCTCCGCGAGCCAGTGGGCAGGACCGAAGGGGCACTGTCGCCAACGCCGCGCACGAGCGTGCACTGAGTGTGCTGGCTTTACCTGCATGCCGGGTTCAGCGCACACGCCTGAAACAAACGTTCACACGACGCGGATCTGTCAAACAGAATTGTCTAACAGACTGTCGGCAAGCCACGTGTACGTACACACGAAGCGGAACTGTCAACCAAAATTGTCTAACAGACTGTCGGCTCGCCAAGGAGGAGGAGGAGGAGGAGGAGAAGGAGGAAGCGGAAGAGAGGGGGGAGAGAGGTGGAGGAGCAATCCAAACCTCTGGAGTAGCGCAGGCCAACCTGCCATAGGCGAGCCGATGCGCGCAACCGAGAAATGGAGGCACTGACAAAACTGCCAAGTTACGTAACTATCTGGGCACAAGCTCCGTGAATAACCACGTCAACTTAAAACCCAACAAGTATCAACCGCGTCCCCAAACAGCGGCCAGGCACAACCGTGCAGTAAGTTGAAAATCAAAAGCAGCACCCAAGGGACGACAAGAGGAGAGGCACACGACCGACGGAAGGGAGACAACTCAACTGGATACCCAAACCGCGGCAAAACTTGCCGCGAGTCCAGGATGCACTGCGCACGCCTCCCTGGCAAATTGGTCCAAAGAGGCGCGCGCGTTTGGCGTCTGGCTGTGCCGCGCCGCGTTTGCAGCGGAATAGACGCAGTACAGCGCCAGCGCCTGGCGTGCATGCACACTCGCCGAGGCATCGCGAAATGGAGGGGAGAGCAGGAGGAAGGAGGAAAGGCGCTTCGACGGTGCAAGCTGCACTAACCCGAGTCGTGCGCGGCAAAAGCACGCCACTCGCGGGCAGAATGCGTAGTGCTGCATGCTGTCCTCGCCGCCCCCGCAATCGAAGAGGCAAGCTGTGCCTCGCTGCGTGCGCCGGCCGGTAACCCAGCCGTTTTGGAGTGCCCTGTAAACGGCGGCCCACACCCTGGGAGGTACCAGACTTGAGACTCCGATTAGGACTGCCTTGGCCCGGTCAAGCCTGCAGCCGGGAAGGATATCAGGGAGGGGGGAGCGAGCAAGAGAGCGAGAGAGAGGAAGAAAAGCGCTGCAAGGGCTACGGACGTGGAGAACAGCCGCGCATCTGCGCTGCCAGCTGGCGCGCGGGACCCTCTCAGAAGCTCCTCCTTGTAACAGCGCCCCGACGCTTAAGCCCGCGTCGAACCCAATCTGGCGCAATTCGTCCTGGGCGTCCTGGAGGTTCTGGAAAAAATTGTGCGCATACCACGCAGCCCAAACTCCCATACGGAGAACATGATCGGAACGGTACCGGAGAGAGCGAAGCGTGGCCAAACGATGATTGACCTGCAAACCACCTTGATGGTGATTTTCCCAACGATGCACCCAGCATCTTGCAGCAGATGCTACGGAGCTGGCCGTAGGAAGTTCCAGGGGAAACCCCAGCGACGTCAAATTCCGCAGGGCGCCAGGTGAAGTCCACGCACGCGGGCCCGGGAACAAAATGTTGACTGCCTTCTGCTCGATCTCGGGCCAGTTCGACGGCAAAAGGTCCAGCTGGAGCATGAACGTCAGGATCGGGAGTGTGTACGTAGGTACGGTACGCAAGTATGGTCAGGAGGAGGCCACCGCCAATGTTCCGCCATATGCGTGCCCTCTGCATGACTTTATCCAAAGCCTTCGTCCACGAGTGCTCCGCCCGCTCGGGCCCAACGACAAATCCAAGATACGAGGCGTACCGCTGGATAGCGAAGTCGCCCCACGAGGGGGCGGCGCCGGCGAGCTGCTGGCGAATCTGGGGTAGAGGGGTCAGGCACAACGGGAGCCGGACACTTTTCCCATGATGCAGCCTGAGTCCCGAGATCCGCTCGTACTCCTCAAAAAGCTGTTCAAGGACAGTAGCGTGTTCAATCCCACGGGGAAGAGCAACCGCAAGGTCGTCCGCGAACGCACGAGTAACCGACGGAATAAGACGCGGGAGTCGCCGAAGAAGAACATCAGACAAAACAGCGAAAAGCAGAGGTGATAAGGGACAGCCCTGTCGCACTCCAGCTGTGAGCGTGAAGCCCTCGAAAACGCCTCCCCCAGGTGATGATGGAGCACCGATTGTTGGTGTAGAGTGCTTTAATGAAGCGAACGCTCCATGGAGGCCAACTTCGGGACACGATCGCATCCAAGAGGAAATCCTGGCACACGCTCGGAAACGCCGCCTGGAAGTCGAAGAAGACGATGGCGGCGTTGTCATGCATGAGAGAGTGGTGCAACATCGCCTCTTCTACGTCCATGAGGTTCGAGGGCATTGACCTACCCCGTATAAGCCCATGCTGGGAATGAGAAATACCTGGAGCGACCGCGGGCCCGACGTAACAACGGACGACGCTGCATATGATCCTATTGTCCGTGTTCGTGATGTTCAATGGCGCATGGTGCTGGCCGTGTAGGTGTCGAGCCCCTCCGCCATTGTGCCGACAGGCTTCTTGGGGAGGAAGACCATGGAACTCTCATTGAAGGCATCCCAGTCCTGTGCCAAAAGATCGAGGCCATTGGGGCTGACGATGGTCAGGAAGGCGTCGTAGAAGGCCCGCGTAGCCAGAGGTCCGAGCCGACGCCATGCCTTGAACGGGATGCCGTCGGGTCCGGGGGAGCTGTCGCTCGCGTTCGCGATCGCCTTCTCGAACTCGGAATACGGCGCGACATCGCCAGGGATGTGCCTGGAGAGGTCAGGGGGGAAGTGGCGCGCCTCCTCCTGCAACCAGACCTGCCGCAAATGCTGATCTGTAGCCTGTTGGCGAAAGACCTCAGACCAATGCTCCTTCAGAACCCTCGCCATGTGCTCCGGGTCCGAACTTGCGCGGCCCTGATTGTCGCAAAGGGCGTAATTGGTGCAGCTGCGGCCCGGCGCGAGGCGCTGCAGCAGTCGGCGGTTGCGTTTTCTTCTTCGCCAGTTCTGTCGCGTGGGCGCGCGCGAGGCGGAGGCGGCGGCCAGATTCGGCGCCGAAGTCGTAGGGATTGTCAACCAAATATTCGAGGAGGGGGTAGCGGAGGATGCACTGGGAGACCCCAGTGGCGCAACCTCGCTCGGTAGCCCGGAGAAACTTCATCGTGATGCCCAAGCGGTCCTCGTGCGAGATAGAACCAGTAGCTGCGGATGTCAAGAAAGACAGCGACTTGGCAGCCGTCCGCATGGCCTGTTTCAAGCAAATGAGGCTCCTGAGTGGGGAGGTTGGGCCCTCCTCCTGAGCCAACAAATCTACCCATGCCAATGCCGCTGTGCGAGGCCAGTCTGGATGGTCAACAGCTTGATCGGTAAGAACGGCACTTTCAATCGGAGAGCGTCGAGGGAGGGCGCGCCTGAAGCTCACCGCCCGGTGTCGAGAGAGCTTGGGGCACCACTCCAGGGCAACGCAAGAAAGATGGCGGTCGAAGCCCTCCACCGCAGTAGATGCGGTCAAGCCTGGAACGGGAGTTGGGGGATGCGTAGGTCGTGTCGGGCTGGTGCATCTCGTGGAGCTGGTGGGGGCCCTCTAACAGATTCCGCCAATTGGTCTCCTCTCGCCCGTCGCGGTGCCCTGAGAAAGCTCCGGAGGCGCACCGGCGGTCAGTGGCGTCGGGGACATAATTGAAGTCGCCGCCCACGATGGAGAGGGCCTCGTCCTTGGGGGCGATGTGGCGGCTAAGCCGTCGTCGGAGTGCATCGCGAAGTTCTGCAAACGACGGCAGGCGCCCAAGGTGTTGTAGTCCGGCCGCCTCCACGTCGAACGCGTCCACCTTCGCTCCAGTGTGGAAATGCGTGACGTAAACGTCCAAGCGCCCCGTCTCGCCGCGCAGGCGCAGCACCGCAGCGCGTCCGGGTAAGAAATCTGCCGCTTGGGGGTCACGCTGAACTGCTGGAGGAAACTGTTGCGGACGGTGACGCCAACGCCGGCACTGGCGGGCGTAGGACCAGGGGACCACCAGGAAGTGCAATCATCAGGGCTCCGCCAAACAGCATTGCCACCTTCGCTCCCGTGCGTCTCCGTCCACAAACCGATGTCGTGGGATGCCATGAGCTTCCTGGCGTACCTCGCCTTGTCGCGGTGCCGCTCCGCCTTGGCGGCGAACAGCGCCTGGCAATTCCAAGTGACCACCGAAACCTCCCCCAGAAAAGGGCTGCCGGCGCGTGGGTGCTGAGTCGATGGCGGTGCTGGAGGGTGGGAGTCGGAGTGCTGAGCTGCTGTGATTACGCTGGAAGTCGTTCGGCGGAGGTGGGGGTGGAAGGTCTGATGCTGGAGGCTGGAGGTCGGAGTGCAAAGCTGCTGGACGCTGCAGGTCGATCGGTGGAGGTCGGGGTGGTGCTGGAGGTCGCAGTGTTGCACTGGTGGACGCTGGAGGTCGATTGGTGGAGGTGGAGGTTGAAAGTCGGATGCTGGGAGTCTGGAGTCGGAGTGTCGAGCTGGTGGGCGCTGGTGTCGGAAAGGAGGGGAGATCGCCAAAGAGCGCCCAATTAACCTACGCAGAGCCTGCTGGCAGAGAATGTGGCAAGGGACGTCCGCGCTCGGCGAGAAGTGCGTAGTGCCACACAGTTGAGCAACAAAAAGAGAGAGCCGGCAGTCCTGGCCGAAGTCGATCTGCAGACCCATGGTACTGAGAAAAGTAAGGCGACGACGAGGTAGAAGAAGATGGGTGCAAAAATGGCGCCGCGCCGTGGGAGTCGTCGTGGCACTGGGAGCTCGGCCTCGCCGCAGAGAGGCGGAGCTCGAAGGCGACGTCGATGAACCGACCGGAGGCGCCCATGCAATCGTGCGCTTGAATTCCCAAATCCCCTCCGGGGTGCATCACCTGGTGGCGGAAGGAGCGGCCCCCTGCGCACCCCCCCGCCTGCCGTTTCCCGACCGCGCCGCGGTGGCCAGCAAGTCATTCGACACGGTGATGGCCAGGAAGTCCTCTCCCACCTGGATCAGTTGGCCGTCCAGCGCGTTGAAGATCTCGCGGACTTCGTCCTGCGAGCGGCGGTGAATGCGTGCCCGGCCGGGTGGGGCCGAGGAGTCCATGGATGCCAAATGGATCCACTGGCCAGGCTGGGGGGCAGTGCTCTGGGAGGCAGGATGCAACTCCAACCCAGTGGATGTGCAAGCGTGGCTGAGGATCGAGTCCAACACCTGGCGGTCGCTGTCACCGAGCTCACCCCGCACGCGAATCTCGGCGACGTTGTCGAACAGGGGGGGGACCTGCGGGCCGCGCCCCGACCGGCGCCTAGAGGCGGCCAGCGCCATCGGCGTGGCCGATGGTGTGACCCAGGGACGCCCTCCGAAGCGGCTGGCCTTCCATTTCAGCTTCGTGATGGCGTGCGCCTCGACTTCCTTCAACGTGGAGTCCATCAGCTGGGCCCAGGTGTCGACAGATGCGGAGGCATACACCAGCACGCGAGTCGGCGCCAAGAAGATCGCCTGGGAGCACAGGGGGCCGGCGTGATTCATAGCCATCGGGCCGTTGCACTCTAGGATCAGAGCCGCAGCAGATGTGTAGAGGTCCCTGTGGCCGATGTGCATGCGGGGCGTGAGTGCGTGGCGAAGGAGGAAGCGAATGGCAAGCTCCTGGCTGACCTCCGAGAGCACCGTCGGGAGCAAGACTTCGACGGTGAGGCGGCGCTCCAAAGGAGAGCTCCCAAGACTCCGGCTTGCAGCCCAGCATACAACACCGACAAGGCTGCTCTTGATCTGATCCGTGTGCATCGTCTGCAAGAAGCCCGGCAGCATGCCCGAGGGGAGGTCGACCCACAGAGAGTTGACTGCAGGGAGCTGCAGCAATGGTACCCTCGGCACATGTACCTTGGGCTGGGATCGATTGCTCGTCAAGTTGACGGTGAATGCCGCCAGACCCTGCTGCACATGCCGCGGCGCAGATCGGCCAGGAAGAATTTACTCCACTGGCTGGAGCACCAGGTCCACCTGCTTGACCAAGGGCGCGTGCTTCTCGCTCAGCAAAGGGTGCCACCAGAGGTCAAAGAGCTTAGTTGGGCAGTCCACCCCAGGAAATGAAGGTAGGCGTGCGAGAAACGTGAGGCTGAGGGGGCGACGCAGAGGGCCAGGTTCACGAAGTAGGGCACTCAAGATACGCTGCAGTGAGCTCTGGTCGCTGGGCGCCCAGACGACGATCCTCTGGTTCCCCATGGCGTTGATAGCCTTAGGGTCGCCCTTCTCCAGGAGGTCGGCCAGCTTCCGGTGCACGGTCATCGTCGCGCTGTGATCCTGGCTCGCAGGGGCCGATACTTGGGACCACTGCGTAGCAATCGAGGCTTCCTGGCAAGCCGGGAGCACGGCCGTCAGGGCCGAAACTCCCAACTCCTTCCATTAGGGGCAGCTTGGGGGGGCGGAGGCGCCGGCGTTCCTTCAAGATGTCGGGCAACTGCTCCTCACAGCGCGCGCCTGCCGTCGCAAAAGCATGCGAGGCCAACCCCGCCGCGTCGCGGTCCACCTGCCCCCACTCGGTCAAAGAGTCCGGAGAGCAGAGCATCAAGGCCAATTTGACGCGGGAGACGATGCTGTGCTCGGTGGGTTCCGGGCCGTCCAGGGGTCCGAAGCCCAATGCCCGCCAAGGGTTCGTCGTGGTGTGGTCGAAAGCGAGCTTGGCGAGGAAACGCTGCAAGTCGTCCCAGGAGGCGGGGGGCGTGAAGGGGATGGCGCGGAGCTCACCCTGCAGAGTCAAGGCGCTGGCCTGGACGAGACCGACGTGCTGCAACACGCCATCCTCGATCAACTCCTGGAGGAGCGCGTCCTGCCACGCAGGGGCGTGACGTGGAGGAGCTGGAGAGGGCATCTCAGTGTCCGCCTCGGCAGGCGGCTCAGTCGGCTCAGTCATGAGGTCGCCGATGGCCTGGGTCAGGTCCGTGCTCGCGTTCTCGGCCGCTGCGCCAGTGCTGCAGCGCTGCGCCATGGCTGTGCTCGCGAGGGCAGGAACCGGAAAATCCTCGGCTTACATGCCGTCGCAAGTACCTTGTGGCAGCGCGGGTGCCGGGCGGGAGAGGGGCTTCGGCTGTTGAGAGTGTTGAGAAGTAGAGCTGGAAAGGTCACCCTAAGACGGGGCGGATTTTAGGGTGACCCTCTGGGAAGCGCGAGAGCCTCGAGCCGAGAGCCCTTGAGCCAAAATGGCTACGGACTGCTCATCCCGAATCCACATCCCCAAGCCCCACCAGACTGGCGACAAGCCCAGGCCAGTGCCAACATCTCCACCAACGGCGGAGGGGGCCTGCAGATTGTCTGCTGCGTGCAATGCCAACGCCTGCCACAATCCCTGGCAACAAAAACAGTGCAAAGCACGCTCTGCACCCACAATCTGCATCAAGCACGGGCGCCCCGTGGTGTTTGACAAAAGACGGCGTGGGTGCCGGCACCTTGCCAGATGCGTGTAATGCGCCCTCCTCCCCACCATCCCTTGCAAACCAAGTGCTGCAAAAGGCACGCTGCAATAGAAACCTGGATCATGCGTTGGTGCCCCGCGATCATGCCGATTTTTATCGATACCCGCCCTCTTCGTCTTCGATCGTGCCCCCTTGGAGGTATATCTTGCTTACCTGCAACATGTATTTCATGCAGCACCTACAGCAGGGGAAGAGAAGACGGATGGAAGAAAGGGAAAAGGGGAAGGGAGGAGGATGGAGCACGAGAGCGAGAGAGAGAGAGAGAGTACCAGGAGGGAGTCTAGGAGCAGACGCACGTTGCGGAACCAGACGGGCAGATCGGGCGGGTAGACCCTAACAGGCGGGTCGGGAAGGCGGGCCCAGGAGGCCAGGTCGAGCAGGCGGGTTGCTCAAGCTTGCGTCCTGCATGAATCGCGAGTCTCGGGCGATAGCGCGATTCTCAAGTAAATCGTGAGATTGGCCAAGGCGAGAGCGTGATTCATGAGTGTCGAGGGCGCGGCGTCTGAATAAACTGCAAGGATGTCCCACGCGAGAGCGCGATTTCAGTATACATTGTGAGGACGTCCCGCGCGAGAGCACGATTTGGGAATCCATTGTGAGGAAGTATCAGGCGGGAGCCGTTGTTGTTGTAGCTCGGGGGCGAAAACCATAGTTTGGTGACCCATCACTTTCCCGAGTAAAAACAGGGTGCGAGCCCCGGGAAGGGCACTTCAATTGAAAAATACAACGTGCCTCCGAGGGGGGCTCAACTACACGTATTCTGCAGTAACTTACTGAGAGTTCAACAACACCAAAACCAACACCCGCAAAAAACAACAACAACACCAACAACAACAATCACAACAACACCCGCAACAACACCACCACCACCACCAACAACAGCAACAACAACACCAGCAACAACAACACCACCACCAACAACAACAACAACAACAACAACAACAACAGCAACACCAGCACTCACAACAACAGCAACAACCACCACCACTATCAAAGCAACAACAGCAACAGCAACAGCACAACAGCAGCAGCGCCAACAATACCATCACCAGCAACAACAACCGCAACAGCAACAGCAACAGCAGATAATCAGAGAAGAAGCAACAGCAGCAACAACGAAAGCAGCAGTCACACCAAAAACGACAACGATAACAAAAACAACAAGAACACCACCACCAACACACAACATAAAGCACAGCATCAACAATAACATCAGTAGCTGCAACAACAACAAGCGGTTATTGAAGCAGGAAGGCGCTGGACGCAGATTGGGAGCTGGGACTTCCGAGAATGGCCACTGCCAACGGCTGGCGCGCGCGTCCGGGTGGTGGCCGTGAGCCCCGTCGCCGACGGCCTCGGGCCCACACCCCCAGGCAAAGACGAAGCCAGGACGAGGACAACCTCGGACGAGGATACGTCGAGAATCTCTGGGATGCGGCGGCGGTGGAGGACGTCTCGGGCGCCGCGGCCTTCTCAGAGCGTTCAGGAACGCTCCGAGAGTGTTGCAGAACGCCCTCGAACGGAGTCATCCTCGTCCTGGCCCCGCCCGACTACTCCTGGGAGGCCTTCGTTCCGGGGGGGGGGGGGGGGGCTGAACGTGCCCCTGGCCCAAGGTGCCCCCCGGCTTTTTTGCTCCATCTTGGGGCCTCTGGGGCCCTCGTGATGGGGTGCTCTGGAGGCCGTGGGGGCCTCCTTAGAAATCCTGAGGGCGCCTCGGGCTAAGAGCACTTCTAATTAGCAACGCCCGATTCGTCGGAACGACTGAAAACTACTAAGCAGGAGTAAGGTGCCATTAAGCCATAATAGTCCGTACTCAACCCGATTGAGGCGGATCCTGCCAGACTCGGTTGGCGTGTGACCACGGATCTGCCAGCGGCGATGCTGAAGTTGACCACCCAGGAGCTGCATCCTGAGTACCACACCCCATCCAGAGCTAGGGTTCTTCTGAGCCCTCGTGCAGAGGCGTCACCACTAAAGGGGTCGCCAACTCCTCCTCCTCCTCCTCCTCCTGCTCTTGCTCCTGCTCCTGCTCCTCCTCCTCCTCCCTCCTCCCTCCTCCTCCCTCTCTCCCTCCTCCTCGCCTCCTCCCTCCTCCCTCCTCCTCCTCCTCCTCCTCCTCCTCCTCCTCCTCCTCCTCCTCCTCCTCCTCCTCCTCCTCCTCCCCTCCTCCCTCCTTCACCTTCCACTTCCTCCTCCACCTTCCTCCTCCTCGCTTCCCGCCTCCTGCTCCTCCCCTCCTCCTGCTCCTCCTGCTCCTCCTGCTCCTCCTCTCCTGCTCTCCCCTGCTCCCCCTCCTCCTCCTCCTGCTCCCCTGCTCCTCCTGCCCCCCTCCCCTCCGCTCCTCCTTCTCCTCCTAATCCTCCTCCTCCTCCTCCTCCTCCACCTCCTCCCCTCCTCCTCCCTGCCTCCCTCCCTCCCTCCCTCCCCTCGCCTCCCTCCCTCCCTCCCTCCCATCCTCCTCCTCCTCCTCCTCCACCTCCTCCTCCCTCGTCCTCCTCCTCCTCCTCCTCCCTCCTCTCCTCCACCTCCTCCTCCTCCTCCCTCCTCCCTTCCTCCTCCTCTCTCCTGCCCCTCCTCCTCCTCCTCCTTCTCCTCCTCCTCCTTCCTCTCTTCTCCGCCTACTCCTCCTGCTCCTCCTCTCCTCCTGCTCCTCTGCTTCCTCCAGCTCCTCCTGCTCCTCCCTGCTCTCCTGCTCCTGCCTCGCACCTCCTCCTCCTCCTCTCCTCGTCCTCCTCCTCCTGCTCCTCCTCCAGCAAACGAGCCCCCCTGGACCCCCCCTAAACCCACTGAGGACTCCGAACTACACCGAGAAACGTCCCAAACCTCCTCGATCTCTTCGACCCTTCCCCTCTCCTCGGCCTTCGATTTCCAAGCGGAGGTGGGGACCCCCTCCCTACTGGTGACCCTCCTTTGGCACTCTGCCGAGTACAGCAGGGGCTCAACCACAAGAAGCCTTCCACAAGAAACTCAGCCCTGGAACCCCCGGACGTCCATTGATTTTTTGGCGTGGGGACGTCACGCTTTCCATATCAAAACCATCGAAACCCAAGAAACCCAGGGCACACTGGAGGCAAGCATAGTGGTTCTTGGAATGGGTCTCCATTGCAAGTGCGAGCCGAAGACATTGCGCCCTGGGGGGAGGAAGCGGGTCCGCTCTCAGAGGCGCCGACCCCTGGCAACGCCGCTCGGAATGAACAGGTGCACGCGCGCACACTTACACATTCCCCTCCCAACTGCACCCTTCTCCGACTCCTCCCCCATCATTTCCCTTCCCCTCCCTCTTCCAAGCTTGCTGAGGCCGTAGCGCCCACATTCAGTCAAACGTGACGCGAGATCTTAAGCCAAGGGCAATGATGTGGTCATTGATGAAGATGTCCCGACTTCAACCCTTCCCTCTTAGTCATTGGCCGGATTGCGCTGTAGACGCGTCGTATCTTATCGTCATGAAGACCCGCCGCTCCCAGACCCCCGACGTCAAGATTTCTTCAAAACGTCGACCACGGAGGTCTCGACCCATTCCCCGGGACCCGTTTTTGATCCCGAATCATTTTTTGACGGTCTTGAGGGCCTGCGAGGGCATCCGGAAGCCGAAAACAGCGAAAAACCCTCTGTCGTGATTTGTTCGCAACGCACGGCGATCTGGTTTTTCGGCGACGAGAGAAAGTGGGCGGTCGGAGGAGGCCGAGCGCGCCTGCATGTCGGCCACATACTTCCCCTCGTACTTCACCTGCCGGACACGCAGATTGCCGCCCTCCAGCCCCTGACTTCGGATTCACCGTGCTTGGGTTAGGTCGGGGGTGTCCTCATACAAGCAGAGTTTAGGAGAAAACATAGTCCAAACAAATAGCCCAAAATGTTCAAGAAACGCGGGAAATCGTTCCCAGACAATTTGCTTGCCATTCTGGAACATGCCCGACTTAGTGTTTGGGCTGATTTCCGGCTCAAAATAAGTCGGAAATGCATCCCAAGCGATGCGACAAAGTAGGGCGGAAGTTCCCACCTCGGAGAAGTAGAGCGAATATTTCCGCCAAGGGTATGGCGGACACATCGATGGCAAAGTAGGGCGGAGATCGGAATCACAGGCGCCTGAAGAGTAGAGCGGAATTCGCAGCCCTACTCAATCCCACCAGCCCTCTGGCCGCAGGTGGTCTAGAGCGTTTCCTTTTCCAACCTCCTGCCTTTTCCTGCTCGGGAGGTTTACCCCCCTCCCCTCCCTGCGTCTGGACGGGTTCCCCCGCGATGTGGCAGAGGGTCGTTTTTGGTCCAAGATGGCTCCAAGAGGGCTTCAGAGAGCGCAAGATGGCCTCCAAGATGGTCGAAGATAGCGGTAGATGGGTCGAGATAGCCTCCGACACACGTCCAAGAGGCATCAAAACGGCCCCAAAACGGTTTCAAGTGCCCTCCGAGGCCTCCAAGGACCCCCCCAAGAGGCCAACACCCTTCAAAAACCTAAGGGAAATCACTGTGTTTTGCCTTCTCGCTTTTTCGCCTCCGATGGGCTCTTGAAGCCTCAAGA